CCGAATGGTTTTTGATTGATCCACGCTTTTGACCTTGAATTCGTTGTCCCTTGGCGAACATGACCTCGGGGATTGGATGACCAGACGGAGATGGTTATCAGAAAAAAATAAGACGGTATTATAACTTGGTGAACTATTTAAGAAACCGTATCCAAGTTGACGGAGTGCTGAGAAACTGAAGTCATGCAGGTTTCGACTCAATCCCGCGTTCCACACGAATCCGGTTGAGCCTGTGGTTGATGCGAGGTGAAGAAAATTCTCTATCATTCAATCAATACTACACAAATACGTATTACAACTACTGGTTTGTATCTGTTTTCGGTGCAAAGTTTTCCACAGTCCAGGCGTTAATGGACTTCGAAGAACTGGGGTAAATATATTGATCCTTTATTAAGCCTACTGCTTGACCTGTAGAGTAACCAAATAGTACGTGATGAGTGAAGAAAAACGATATAAATTACAGGTTGGACGTAAATGAAATTAAAATCGATGCATTCATTAGTGAACCATCAGTCGTTTAAGTCGGGGAAGCAGAGTCTAAAGCTGTTGGTCAGTTCATACATAGATCGATGAGTGTATTGAGTTATATGAAAATCCGTCTCTGGAAGTAACCAATCGGTTGAAGAATCAAGCGATAGGTGTCAAGCATACGAAACATTTATGAAAATGTTCTATGTTCGTCGATTAGAGAGAGAGAAAGAGAGAGCGAGGTAGGGGGTTACCTGCCGTAACTCCACTGATTTGAGGTATGCATTCGTGTCTGAGCTGTATACCACTTTTGACGATGAACGTGTAGCATTTCTTCAACCGACAGTTTCGCAACGCCAGTTTTCCTTTCTTACCTCTTGTTTTCTCTAAGCTTCTTGATAGATCCATTCAAGCTGGACGTGATCCTCAAATCACGTACCAGAAGTACTTTCACCCTACGCTGGTGACTAACAGCAGGATACGTTCAGTTTCTAACCAGTCCTGTATAATTGAGGACTATCAAGGCATGGTACATAACCATGAAGTACATATCAGAACCATCAAGGTTCAGAAATCAAGTAGCGACTGAGTTATCGATCAGGAAGTTAAAATGCCGTCAGGTTTTTTCCTTCTTCCTTTAAGGACCCTTATCCACCGGACACAATCAAGTGTACCGTCGAGATTTAGCAGTCATCGCCATTAGTTGGCGATAGCTATACTCTGAGGAAAGTTCCTCTATTGGATAAAGCAACTTGGATATTTCCAGGATTAAGTTTTACTTCAACTATTAGCGTTCTTTTAATGAACTCGAAAAGCGTGCACCGAGACAATTCCCCACGGTGAGCTCTGTATCGCACGCTTTCGTTGCATTGATCAGATCTACTTTCAGGTTTCCGCTGCCGTTGCTTAAATATCAGCCTAGGCCTAGCCAAGTCTAATTCCAACCTTTCTGAAGATCTCAGAATAAATTGTTTTCAATAAACCGCAATCTCTGGTTCTGTTTTCATTTGGGACGAATATTCAAAACGGACGTGAGTAAACATTAGTGACAGGTTCTGACGAATATCAGCAACCATTGAGTTGCTAAAAACGCAGTCGAACTCCCCCTCGACCGAGCTATCATCGACCTCATCCACCACATCATCTGCAAGAGAATTCCATAAGTTGGCTCCCCCAGCGCGACAGTTGGTACGTGAAAGGTAACCCGATTGACGGAATCTTGAACTATGTCAGCTTTGTCAGCGTGTCCGGCTCTACTCGCGCGAAGAGAAATACTCCCCCAGCTCTGGGTCCATACCTCCAAGTCGGATACGCTGCACACATATGACATCACTGTTAGCACGGAGCTCAAACAACCCGTCAGATCACGCACGCATCCTAGTCAGGCCACACGCACGCTCGTAACTCTCCAGACAAGCTGAGCCCGATTGGATCGATCGATCGATATGCCAAAGTTACAATTTGACTGGAACGTCCCGGACAGTCCTCTCCTATACGTGATTGTGCTATATTATTGCGTATCGAAATATAACTGAACGAATACGCACTGACTGTTCTCTCTTCGCGTTATCGTGTGGAGTTAAGCAAGAGTCGCTCGTGTCATTTGTACGGCTAGTCAAAACACAACAGTCACCATAAACTTGGCGATCTACCTGCTGTACCAGTCTTGTGGCCTAGAAATGTTCATTCTTTGTCTTTGTCTTCTTTTTCTACCTCCTTTTATGTATTTATTGAATATACAAATGCACAGTCAACACTCAGGAATCGGGCCCGTGGTCACATAATAGCTGTCTGGAAAACAAAATTGGAAAGACGGGCTATAGTGGAGCGGTTCGAACCCAGGACTTTCAAGTTACAAGTTGGTGGCTATCCACTCGGCCACCACAGCCTAACCCCGTGGTAAGGCGAGTGGCACCTCGTTGGACCTTCTCCAACTTCTGAACTGCTGCTGCGCTTACCGCATAGCGCGGAGTTCACAATCTCCAATTGAGGTCGGACATGATAGATGTAAAACGTCCTGAAACCGTCGTATGAGAAGAGTTCGGAAAAGGAGCAGCGAATAGCTCCGAGGATTATGCAACCCGAGGTACAGGTTTTGTCCACCGTTCCCCGGGTTCTTAGTGACGAGGAAACCAGTAGTCTGAGGTATCGTTCACACACCGAGATGCCAGAGTACCGGACTGTTCAGAAGGTGATACACTCGTACACTGGGCAACCGGCTAATGGACATGTAATGATATTTCGTAGAATTTATCGGTAATTCCCACTCACGGGATCAGATCACCAGAGCATTCAAGTTCACCTGCAGAGTGTTCACGTCAAGTTCCGACTGGATTGGTCTCTAAATTTCTAGATCATCCGCGTATAACAGAAATTCAGATTCAAAAAAGAAACGAGTTTGACTGTGATTGTTTTTTTGTAAACTACCGCCGCAACCAAAATCCCACTAAGGTGATAAGTATAGAGCCAAAAATACGTCATTTGCCGGGGAAAACCGAGCTATTTATACAGAGTACAACCGATAGATCGTAGTTCTAAGCTTTACCCACGTAGTGCTGAAGAGCATGCAGTGTTCAGGCAAGCCTTTCAAACCAAAGTGGTGCTCCAAATGTATCGATCAATCGATTGATCGGTTTCCAGGCAGCCCAGGTTATACCCGGCAAACTATTCACTCTGTTAATACAAAGAGGAACGACACAGACCAGAGGAATATTGTGAAAATAGCAAACTCCGAGATTTCATTTCATGCGGTAAAAAAGAGTGCACAATGAGAGCGTGAAAAACACTTGGTTCGAGAGAGAAATACCAAGTTTAGTTTCACCAAACGCCCCCCCCCCTCCCTCCGTCGTTGTCTCGTGCAACAGTTTGATTAAGTAAGTAAGTTACAAAATAAACAACAAAAAACAATTCCACACGCCGAGGACCAGCAGGAGTAAGCTCACCGGGATCAGCCAAGTCTGGTCGCCGTTTCCAAGCCGGTTGTGCTTTAGGCATGGGATCTCCTTGTCGCAAATCGACCGGATTTCCCGTCAGCGCAGCTAGCCGTTCACTGAGTTGCTGATTCGCGTACAGTTTAAGCTCCCGTTCACTCGCCCAAATTTGGGAGACTAAATTAAACTGATGATCAGGTTGGAGTGGGGTGGGGTGAGAAAACAAGATGGATAGAGTCACACGCAAAGTAAATTGGAAACAGGATAATGGGAATAATTTGATGATCAGGATTAGAGAAGCGCATGCGAGGTAAACGGTCTGATGAGAAATTAGACAAAGGAATGTGATCAATCGATGGGACCTCAACGATGGGCGGGACCAGTTCATCTATTATCTTTAATTTAGATATAAAGGATTCGTTTTTTTCTAATGGGAGGCCATTAACTCAGGAGAAGCCTAAAAATAGCAACGTTAGTGGACCACCAGAAAGCGAATATTTCGATATCCGGGTTCAATCAATATCTCAATAATTTGAATATTCTCAGAATAGATAGCATTGAGAAAATAAGTTGACGAGCGAACAGTTGTTTCCGGATATTCCTAATCATGCTCTTATATATCATATAGTGAAAAATGCTCAAAGAATGACAGCCATTGGCTCGATTAAATGTCATTAATCGGAGAGCTTTAATTGAGCCAATGGCTGTCATTCTGTAAGCATTTTTCCCACGGTATGACACGTGGGAATATCCGAAAACAATTGTTCGCTCACTGACTCGTTTTTCCAATCAATATCTGCTTTGTTCGGCATTTTTGGGTTCTATTTGAAGAGGATATTTTGGGGGTAAAGCGTCTGTAGTGAAGAAAAATTTGTAAATAAGTAGTCTTGAATGTTGTCAACTGTTATGTCCCGTTTAAGTGAGTAAATAAGAGCGCAGTCACTTATGCTGTACGATTATTGTAGAGGACGCACATGTAGCCGGTCCATAGGCCGGTGAGCATGCTGAAGCGGGAAACACGTTTCCACATAGGTAGGCCGGCCGACAAACGGCTCAAGCGTCACGTAACATCCAAAAGTGGTCAAGTAGGCATTCAAACAGTCAACCAATCAATCAGTGGGAACAGTACAATACTAATGTCTGATTGGCTGGAGCCGATTGATATTATAGTAAAACCAGTCCGAGTGGCGTGAGTGCGTGCGCGTGTGCTAACCGACAGTATCGGCAGGCGTTAAGGCTGTATGCCCCACTAGGGTATTTATACAATTTTAAATCAGATACTAATGAGTAGTATACGAGAAAAAAGCACAAGTCACCTACTTCAAAGTCTAATAATCGTACCAAAAAATATGATGATAGCAATAAAAGGTAATAGAGATGTAAAATTTATAAACGGATAGGACTAACAAAAATGGTGAAAAAATTACAAATAAACAGGGATAACTGTATTTAATGTGTGCCTGGAAAGTTAAAATGTCATCGGGAAATGTCTCGTATGAAAAATTGAACCATAATCTGTATTGGACCTTATGAAAATAGTCCCAATCCATTTCACCTAGGGAACCCTGAACTTGGAAGTAATCCTCAGTCCTGCGGATAATCAACATATTCCAAACACTCGATCTGCTTCAGAAAATTGTGCAGGTTGGAGTGGACCGTTACCGTGTCTAGGTCACAAAATAAAACAAAAACGACCAAAATCAATTTTTTCATAAGTAGCCAGAAAAGCTTAGTTATGATTTATTATGATAGAAAAAGATAACATAGTTTTTCAAAACGTCACAGGTAAACGAATGTGGCCTCAAGTGGTAAGAACCGGGAGAAGGGGTGGGGGAGCATGCATCCTTAACGTCCGCCACAGCATTTGTCAACCAATTGACCAATCCGGGCACAGACAAGCGCGACAAACGTATTAGTCACTTGTAGGCCACAACATCAACCTACTATGGTTACTACATACAGGGAATTCTCGGTTTTATGTGTTTTACTACGGCTGGATACCTCACAAGCATTATCACGTTCCGGAAGATCATGAGGTTGCATTCGAGGCTGTTGGGCAACGGACGTCTCCAGTGTCACTGGACTTGTATCTGCGGTTGCAACTCTAACATGTGAGTGATCGAGGGTGGACTACGGGGCGGAAGTCTACTGGTGTATGACTGTCGCGATCTGTAGATCAAGTATGATTTCTAATCGTTGGATCAGGTAGCGGTTTTCGTCCATCCATACCACGCAGCGACTTGCTGTAGATTTCAAGTCCCGTTTACCCTCAATTTGGTTTGGTTCTCCTGTAAAGCGGTCTTACGGAATTTGGTTACTTTGTCAATTTTTTCTGAGAGTCTTTGAGTCATGGGTGGTGAATAGGATACTGACAGAGAACAACGAGGTGAAATATACTACACACACCCAGGGGGTACAAACGTTTACCAGTTAGAAGGGGTTACTCCAGTCACATGATGGTGAATTTTTAAGTTCTTCTGATCGAACATAAAATTGTAAAAATGACCTTTGCGTATGTAGTTAAGTCGCCGTCTGAGGACATAAATATGAGAAACGTTGGTCGGCAGTAACAGTGTTCTAACTTCTGACCTCCGGCTAGGTGTGATGTAAACCTTAACCACGTGATCACCGCCTCCTGGTATGAACGACACTTAGAGTTCGTAGTTCTCTGTAGAACCACAGACATGCAACCAAACTGTCAAACAGACAGACAGAAAGACAACTGAGCTCAGAAAATACAGTGCAGGTGAGGTAAGAGATTAAACAAATAAATGTAATTCATCATACTTCACACTCCTATCGTTCATTCAATCGGTCACATACACACACACGCAAACACACAATAGGGACGGGACAGACGTGAGATTGATTCGTCTTGGCAACCATCAGTTGTGCGTATTATACAGGAATAACACGTACCGAATGTCACTACTCACAAGTACCTGTGAGTTATATGTGACCGGAAATATCAATTAGAAATGTTGGTACTCGTCAGCAGTGCGCACTAGGACTAGAACCGCGAACCATCGAGTCAAGACTTAAAACCCTTACGTCTGAGCTACACGCCAGACGACAACAGTGCCTGGTGCCTGTGGAAAACCCGCATGGACTAATCCAAAAATTTCCCGTTTAAATAGATTGGGTCGTTCGCACAAGGCGTGTAGATCAAAGGTAAGGGTTTGAAGTCTCGACCTGAAGGTTCTGAGTTCCAGTCCGGACAGGAACACAAGCGGTACGCATTGCTGACGAGTCCTACACAGGGCGAAACAGCTGTCCAGGGGTTTTTGATCGTCATCACAAATCTTTCCATTGCATTTAAGTGAATTTATCTAATGGGAAATTAACAATCTTTCAAGGAGTAAAATCCATACCCGAATTCGTCAAAAGCGCCTGTTACGTGCGGAAAACCGAATATGGTAATCCAAAAATTCACCGCTTAAATAGAAATGTTGGTGCTGGTTCAGTTTTCCCAGTTGGAACGGGATTTTTTAATCCAGTTCAGATCCAGGCTATGAAACGTGATCGATACGACTTCCAGACTCTCAACTAGAAAGTGTAATTTGGCCCGTCTACCCAAAAATCTACGGGACACTTTCGATTGTACTCAAGAGGGAGTGTATATTGTGTCTGTGACACAGAATTAAACCGTGATTCCCATAGACGAACATGTCTTGAGAAACTGCAAGGGCTACTTCCGTTTAGTTTCACACACACACACACACACACACACACACACACACACACACACACACACA